GGGAGAGAATGTAAGGCCCCGGAATTTTTTTTCAAAAAAATTGAGATTTCATCGTGCCAAGGTAGGCTAATTACTTCATTTTGTGTGCTCATGAGGAGATATGTTATGATGGGTATCAATAAGATATGTTAATAATCATATAGTTCATGTAAGAGGTGAATTGGGGTCTAAGGAGAGGCCTAAGTCTAAGCCAAGTTGGAAAATTTCAGATTAGACAAAATCTGTGAATAAGTGCGCACATGACCTCACTTTGAACGATCATATCTCAAGTTATATAAGGAGTTGTGTGATGATCTACCTATAAAATTAAAGCCCTTTGAGTCTAGTTTCCAACGCAACAAACCGTGCATCATTTGAAAGTGTATAGAGAAAGTTATGACCATTTTACTAGGAACGTGTCAGTAGCCCGACCATTAGCGCTCGAGCGCATGTCTAGCGCAAATGGAGTTTCTTTCTGTAAAAACTAGTGCGGGTCATGCGCTAGTCGTGCGCTAGAGCGCTAGTGCCAGGTTACTAAATACCCCAAAAACCGAGTATAGAGAGTCCCTAAGTCATTTTTGAACCAAGGGTTTTCTCTCTCAAGGATATTTCGTCCCAACCTTCATCTCCATGATCCAAGGTAAGTTTCTTTGCATACTTTGAGTGATTTTTAACCCCTAAACACTTATGCTACCAAGGATTAATCTTCAAATCCTTAGATTTTCCTTCAAATTCTTGAAATCATCAAGAACACCTCAAGTGGGGATTCTTAAAATTCTTACTACACAAGGTATGTCTATCATCTCTAACTACTCTATAGTGATTATTCATGTATATTATACACATTAGAACTCATGGGATGGTTATTAGAAGCTACAAATTCTCCATATAAATACATAGTTATTGTAGAGATTAAAATGTGAATATTTGATAAGAATTGTTTGTTGTGTGTGAATAAATGGTCATACATGTGTAGTTGGAAGTTATAAATTGTTAGGGATGATGGTGGAATAAATTGTTGGTTAATGGTGATAGTTGTATGAACAAATACCATGGTTGTTACATGTAAAAATCTATGCCTACAAGGTGTTTGATAATATGCTTAATTGGCTTAAGTTAGGGAGTTTGTTACTAATATTCGTTCCATTGAATAATGTATTGTAGATTGAAGTTGCTTAAATAAATTGGATCATTTTAGTATCATTAAGGGGTGAATTTGAGATATGTATGGCTAACTCTGAATCTTGTGAAATCGCCCTGTGTTGGCTCGTGAAATTGTTTGCTACTCGATGTCTATGTGAGTATTGTTGTGTGAAATTCTTGTGGTTAATATTCATTCGGTAACATCTTGTGGTGGAAGTTGAGGAATTTGAAATTGAAATGGTTCATGAAATGGTGGAAATGGAAACATTGTCGTAATATGAATTGTGAATGAACTGTTGAACATGAGGAAAATTATTGTCGATTGGTTGTGGAATATCTTACCTCTCGTTGTGATTCTAGTAAGTGGTACTGTTGATTCTTTGAAATTGTTGATGTGATATTTGTTGTTTGTAAATTGAAACTGTCAGGCGGGGTCGGGTTGCACGCCGCAACACGGTGAAATAAGGTGTGGGTTGGGGCGATAAGGGTGGCTGAGGTAATAAGGGTGGCCGAGGTAATAAGGGTGGAAAATGTGATTCGATATCACCAATGAAATGATTGAAACTGACATGAAAAAGAAAAGTGATTAATGTGAATTGTGAAAGGAGACAGCAAGAGCGTGTGAAACCTGTGGGGAACTGATTGCCCCTTTGTATGACTACGTGAATTAGTTGATGTGAAATATTTTGTTAATGCTTTCATTGTCGTTCAGTTATCTATTTGCTTATGCATCTTTTGGCTTGAGTTACTTGGGACAGGGATTGTTTATACATACCAGTACAATTCAAATGTTGACGTCCCTTTTGCCAGGGGCGCTACATTCATGTTATGATTGTAGGTGGATCCGTGGCAGGCACTCCAGTCCATTGACCTTAGCTCTTCATCACTTCCTATCAGCTGAATTGGTGAGCCCCTTTTCTTTCGGGGTCCTTCATGGCTCATGTCGTTTTTGTTTCGGGACCATATTTTGATATTTGTATAAGGTATAGCCGGAGACTTGTTACCGGCAAGTAC